AACTATTGGGGGTTTCCCTTATAAATTCCCTTTACTTTAAAAAGATTAATGTTCTATGAAATGTAATGCAAAATTCAATATTTGAGCTGTCGTTGTTGAGCTATTGCTTTATTTCTCTTAAATTTATATTTATTTCCACATTTAAAAAATCATTTCCGCCGGCCGAGTGGCTCAGTTAGTTAAGAGCTTGCTCAAGAGCGTGAGCTCTGAGCAACAGGGTCACTGGTTCTATTCCCGGCCCGACCTGAGCTGCTGCTGAGCTGCTAACAAGTGGCAGGATGGCTCAGCAAAAGAAAAAAAAAAATCATTTCCTACAAGGTCTTTGCTTTCGCCAGCAACATAAAAGGAAATACAGATAGCTACTTTAAAGGCCAAGAAGAAGCCTCACTCTGCACTTTTAATTCACTCAGAGTAAGGTCCAAAGTCCTTATCTAGAAGGCCCTACTTGAGCTGCACCTGCTGCCCCCATCTCCTCTCTGCCTCCTCTCCCCTTTGCTCACTGGGCTCACAGCTCCAAACTAAGGATGCTAACTAAGCATGCTTCCCTCTAACAGACGTGGCTCTTGCTGTCCTCTGTCTGGAATGCGCTTTCCCCAGTAGCCATATGGTCTACTCTCTCACTTCCTTCAGGTCTCTACTCCAATGCCATCCTGGCCTTTTCTTTCCTGCCCACCCTAGGTCATACAGAGCCCTTCCCCACCATTCTTCTCTGCCCCCCTTTCCCAGCTCTACTTTTCCCCATAGCACTTATCATTTGACATTTATATACAGTATATGTCATATTATATATTAGATTATTTGTTATTGTCTATAGCCTCCCACTAAAATAAAAGCATTTTAAGGACAAGGATTTTTTTTTAATCCTTTGCTGTGTCCCCAACACCCAGGACAGTGGGCCCAGCACACTTTTGAATTCCACAGATGCTTGTTGAATAAAATTGTTGATTAAACACTATTATTGATTTTTTTTAAAAACCTTTCAGAATTTACTGGAAAGGAAATTTTTAATTCAAATGCTCAGCTCTTGCTTAAATTAAAATGCTAAATCAATGTTGATCTACTTTTCAGGATGGGTTCTTTTTTTCTTATTGACATTTAACTTTGAGAACTTACAGAGCGAAAAGAACACCAGAATTCAAAGGCCAGAAAGCTAGGGTCTAGTCCTTTGCCCTGACATCACTAGTTATGCTATGGCGACCAAGTCATAATCTCTCCTGATCTCAGATAACTTCGCTCTAAAATGAGAAACAATATTACCTCTAAGGCACCTTCTTGCTCTAAAATTCTGAGACTCTATTGCAGCTAGCACAGTCTTATGCATTCAGGCTGCCAATCATCAATTAGTCAGCTTAGTCTGAGTCTCATCTCTCAAAATACAAAATTGTTAACCGAAGGATTCTATAGAACTATAAAAATATGAAACCCTGGTGAAAAATAGCCATTGTTCACTCAGATGTCCACTGGAAGGATAGGCTTGGAAGAGTGTGCTTCATAAGGGTGGTAGCATTTCAAATGTCAGTTTAAAAAGCTGATGAACCTTAATCTTTCTAAAACGTGAAAAAGAATAAGTTACTAGAGAGGAAATTAAGATATCTGCTTTGGGCCAGCCGAGGGGCTCAGTTGGTCAAGAGCGCAAGCTCTGAGCAACAGGGTGACCGGTTCGATTCCCACATGGGCCAGTGAGCTGTACCCGAGCTAAGCTGCCACTGAGCTGCCAACAGGTGGCAGGATGGCTCAGCTGGTGAGAGCATGTGCTCCTAACAACAAGGTTGCTGGTTCGACTCCCTCATGGGAGGTGGGCTTACACCCACCCACAACTAAGATGGAACACGGCACCTTGATCTGAGCAGCCACAAGCTGCCGAAGGGCGACCGGATGGCGACAGGACTTGGAGCTGAGCTAGCTGCGCCCTCCACAACTAAGATTAAAGGGCAACAACTTGGCTGTTCCCCTTCCCCAATTCCCCAATAAAAATCTTAAAAATAAATAAATAAATAAATAACTGGCTGACTCATTAAAAAAGATATCTTCTGACTACCCTATCTTTAGCCAGTTATAAAATTTTAAATAATTACAAATATGAGTACCATACATGCATAAAGGCACTGCAGTATTATGATTAGGGGTAGATGTGTTTGAGACCAACAGGCCTGGGTTAATGTCCACACTCCTTTCTCTAACTATGTGTGATCTTGAACTAGTCATACACCTGCTCTGTACTTTATTTGTCCCATCTGTACAATGGGAGCAATGTTTACAGTTGGTACAATGGGTAACAATTTTTAGCACCTGGGATCCTTTGGGGAATTTAGTAAGATGATGCCTGACACACACATAGTATACACTTAGTCAACATTATTATTATTAAATAACTAACTGTGAATACACCCACACAAACACAAATCTGATGGCCACAAAAACATTCTTAGCTACATTTCTCCTGATACTATGTAGCCTATACAACATGTGGAAAGAAATGAAAAAAAAAGTTCTTCAAAACTGCCAGTCATAAATGTTTATCAACCACACACATATTGGTTTCTGAGAGGTCAGATCATAAATTTTTTCTAAGGTCCTTCTTTTTTTTTTTTTTTTAAATCTGTCAGGCCAGTGATGTTCTTTCTTTTAAAATCATTCTTCTGTGAAAACATCTGACAGATTCACTCAACACATTTATACAGTAAACATCTTAGGAAAATCACTTCACAACTCGGTTATTTTTAACTACTCTTACTCTTTTTAACCCTAAAAATAAATAAATTACATATATATAAAATTTTTGGATGCATTAGATTAGTCTCTAAGGACAAACAGCATCCACTTCCTACATTTTACATATAACAGAGCCAGTTAATTCAAAAGAGTCCACCATCTCAGCATATTACCCCTTGAGTTTTCAAGCAGATTAGACACTCAGACACACCTTGCTTTTTATAGAATAGGATCAAATGAGACACAATAACACTCTGATTCAATGTTAGGAATTCCCTACTAACTTATATCTTCCTTTTATGGTGGCCAGGCTGTAAAATAAGTCAATTAAGAGTTCACAGTGGGAATGCTGCAACCTCAACCTCAACCTCAACCTTAAATAGAGACGCAAAAATACAGTGGAACGTATTCGCATCTCAAGCACGTCCAAATGTCTCAGCCAACGCGATCCGATCGCTGCCGTTTCCAGAAACACACAGTAATGGGTTTTAATCCATTTCTATAAATGTTCCGTGTGCTGAGAGCCAAAGTGCATGCAAAACCTCAAAACACAAAAGATTCCTCGCATTCCGCTTATAACCAGAAGACTCTAGGCCATCCTCTCTGCGCCCTACCCCAGAGAGTCCTCTTGGCGACGATAAGAATTTCATGACACCCCATGCTACCTATACACATCAACTTGTCATCCCACAAAGGGGGCGGGGGGGGAGGTAGGGTGGTGGGGAGCAGTGTCAGCATCCGCGGCCTCGATGAACTGATACTGCCAGTATTCCCACCGCCAGGCTAACGCGACACCAAGTGAAGTCGGTGGAAAGTTCCCATCACCCAAGCATATTTGGTTTCCATCTGCCCCCAAAAGCAGCAGCACAATTGCTGAGATTTGCTTCTGCACCTGCCACGGCTCCTACACCTGGTTTTCTCGGCGACCCCCGAGCTCACAAAAAGGCCTTGCGGCCTAAAGCGCCGGTGACCCTTCGCGGAAGAGCGCACGGAGGGC